AGTTCCAGTCCATTCTTGCTGCATCTTGTTCTCCCACCAACCCATAAATAGGTTTGCAAATGTGGGAGCTGCCCTGGTCCCAATAGCTGTTCCCTCCCTCTGTAAATACAGCTTGTCTCTAAATTCAAAAATATTAGAACCCAGGACAACTGTCATTAATCTGATGAGGAAGTCTGTCCGTACTGATTTATCTAATCTCCTCTCTCCTGCAGCTTGAAGAGCAACCAGTCCTTCTTCCCAGGGAACATTAGGATACAAAGCTACAACATCCATGGATACAGGAATAGCATGAGGAGGTAGAGGTCCCAAATCATTTCTCTTTTCTATTTCTCTCAACAAATCTGGTGTATCTTCAATATAGCTTGGAAGTTTCTTTACCTCTGCCTTCAGGTGATGATCAACAAATGCTGACAAAAACTCTGTATTAGAGCCAGACCCAGATACAACCTCTCTCAAGGGAGGTAATTTTGAACTGGTTTCAACAGGTTTATGATCTTTTACAAGACCATAAAGTTTACCTGGAGTAGGTTTATCTGGAACCATGAGAATAGCATCCTTCTCTGAGATATATCCTTCTCTTACTCCCTCACTCACCAGATCCCTCACAATCTCCCAATCCCTCTTCAAACGGTCCTCCTTCACCTCAATGTATTTGGGTGCCTGGTTTCCAGTTTTATCTAAGTAAGTCTCACCAAGCTTGTTTTCCATCACTTTTACATATGGATCATAATCCAAAACACATACTCCTCCAGTTTTATCTGAGGGTTTTATGATTATCTCACACTCCCTTTGTTTACGCTGCAATGATCTAATGGCAACCCATTGTTCTTTAGATAAATTAGACTGGTGAGGATTAAGCTTAGCTCCGACAGTACATGCATGTACGGCACTTAGATGTTCCTGCAGTTTTGGTGGACAAGGGTGGTTTCTGGGAAAATTAGTTTTAATAGTCTTGTCCTGAAATATACTCTGATGTTTTTGGTGCTTCATCCAAATGTTCCCGAACAGAATATTGTAAATTTTAAGATTCTTAGATATAAAAAACTTCAAGTGCTTTATTGATAAAAAAATATGCCGTGTAAATTAATACAACTTCTCATAGCAGTGACAACAAGAAGTGTATACTTTGGGGTTGTCTCCGTAAAATACAAATGTTACACTGAAGAAGAACTTCTCTAACTTCCTTTACCCAATAAGTGGCGAACAGCGATAAACCCAGCCAATCAGCCAAAAGTTTCAATACACTTACCCCACTACATCTTAGATAAAATAGGTTCTTCTCCTAAGTTTGAATAAAGTGCGATGAAAGTTTTGCCATTATGAAATTGAAAAGATTGTAATAAATACTAGTTTTAGTTTTAACTTCGACTTTGTTCACAAACTTTCAGAGAAGATAAATTCTTTGTTTCTTTCTTTCAGTCTATCATTAATATTCATCCTTATTCAGATACAGATACAGATACAGATACAGATACAGATACAGATACAACAGATACGGATACGGATACAGATACAGATACAGATACAGATACAGATACAAATACAGATACAAATACAGATACAAATACAGCTACAGATACAGATACAGAAACAGATACATATACAGATACATATACAGACACAGATACAGATACAGATACAGATACAGATACAGATACAGATACAGATACAGATACAGATACAGGTACAGGTACAGGTACAGGTACAGATACAGATACAGATACAGATACAGATACAGATACAGATACAGATACAGATACTGATACAGATAAAGATACAGATACAGATACAGATACAGATACAGATACAGATACAGATACATATACAGATACAGATACAGATACAGATACAAATACTTATTCGGATACCAAAGACAGGATGGTAACTCTAAAAATTAAGATTTACACGCAGATGTTTCATAAATCTCATTGTTATAGTATTAGATGGATTCAATTAAGAAGAAGATGATTACTCTCTCCGCAGCAACGGAAGAGGCGAATACAAGGGCGGAGAGGTTTTCAGAAGAAACAAGGCGGATATGTGAAATAGCGGACAGGTAAAAAATTTAAATTTGCTTATAAAAAATCTAAAAAATTTGAAAAATCTAAATATTTTATAAATTCCTTTTCTCATATCTGCTGTTTTTCATATAGAAGAAAAAAATATTTTCTATAATTATTTAATTGTTAAACATAAAACCACTTTGTGCAGAGAGATAAGTCTTTCGTTAAATAACATTTTTATCGTACTGTGGAGCCCCTGATCTGCATACTACAGTACTGTGGAGCCCCTGATCTGCATAGTACAGTACTGCCTGTACTGCAGCCTGATTCTAGACCAAGCCACCTTAGTATATAAACTCGTTGTATATTATATTAAAGAGGGAATTCTTGTGAAAATTAGGTCAAGTCTAAGACGTTTTCATAAAAAAAGACTTTTTTTCTACGCAAATGTATTTTGAATACGATCATGGGTGTTTTTAATATCAATTGCCCCTCTTTTTGCATGGTTGTAAACAGCCTTTGTTCTCATGCATTTTCTACTATAATAGGAAATTTTTCCGGGACGTTTTTCAATAAAATCATACAGGAACCGGAAAAAAAGTCCTTGGAAAATAAAGCCTTAAAATGGTAGGACTTCATTTCTAAAGAATTTTATTTCAGTGACTTTTTAGTGCCAAAATTTAAGAATTATTTCCGAAAACTTTTTTTCAGAAAACTTTTTTGGCAGTTTCTGAAAGTTAAGCAGTATAGTTAAATTTGTTTACTGATCTTGATAATTAAAAGATTACTTGAAGGAAAATAATTATCTGTATTTATTTCATTTGATTTTTCAAGTTCCCTGCCGAATTCATGTCCAGTCCAAATCTTTCAGAATTTTTTGTTTGAAAGTAAAATTTCGACGTTTATTCTGATTGACAGCTTGACAGTTAAAGGTGAAATGACTCAATTTACCTTGACCAACCCTCCCCCATATCTCTCCCCCATTTCAGGCTGTAAACTTAAAAAAGATTGTTTTAGTTTTAAAATGATGTTGAAACCATGTTGAAACTTTGCCATTGAAAAGATTTTCCTTCTTGAACTTAAGAAAGTTTATAAAAAAGAGCCAACGAGTGAGGTAAAAAATTGAGTAAAAACTATGTTCAAATCACTTTTTAATTACTTAAAAAAACTGGTGCAGTAATTGGATCTTCAGCCAGAACTTTTATGTTTTGAATCTCAGGAGCAAGCTTTGATCTCCATATTTACGGATTAATTTGAGTCCTTATTAATATCCCTTGGTATCCATATCCTGCCAGAAATAATTAAATCCAATCTTTTTCATTCATAAATCCTGGTCTCAGGTTTGAGGAGCAGGTTCGGAATATCCAGAAGAAGATGCAGAGTATGGAAGGACAGTTTGACTCCGCTACGGAGCAACTCTTCGAGGTGTCCCTCAAGCTGGAGGAGAAGGAGAAGGCGTACAACAACACCGAGGGGGATGTCGGTGGACTCTCCAGGAGGGCTCTTCTACTAGAGGAAGATGTTGAGAGGTAAAGTTATATATTACAAAAAAGCGACTTAATCAAGAGAATGTTTGTAAAAGAACTGATTACTCGCCTCATTCTCTATTTATATAATCCCAATATCGAAGATCTTTGATATATCACGCTGTAAATACTGTTGGATCAAATAGTCAAACTTTGAAGAAGAATAATGAAAAATGAATTGAATAATGAAGAAGTCTAACTACGTATGGCTTGTTAAACTACATCCCTAGAACACTTTCGGCCACATTACGAGTAGTAATTCAACTCTCCTTGCATATAGTTCAAGTTTCAGTTCATTAATTCTGACCTGTGAGGCTGTGAATTAATTTGAAGTAGAATGGGTCTAAATGAATTGATTTAAAGTAGAACGGATCTAGATGAATTAATTTGAAGTAGAACGGATCTAAATGAATTGATTTAAAGTAGAACAGCTATGGATGAATTGATTTAAAGTAGAATGGGTCTAAATGAATTGATTTAAAGTAGAACAGAACTGAATGAATTGATTTCAAGTAGAACAGATCTAAATGAATTGATCTAAAGTAGAACGGATCTAAATGAATTGCTTTAAAGTAGAACGGATCTAAATGAATTTATATAAAGTAGAACGGATCTAGATTAATTGATTTCAAGTATACCGGAGCTAGATGAACTGATTTAAAGTAGAACGGATCTAGATGAATTGATTTCAAGTATACCGGAGCTAGATGAACTGATTTAAAATAGAACTGATCTGGATGAATTGATTTCAAGTAGAACAGAACTGAATAAATTGATTTCAAGTAGAACAGATCTAAATGAATTGATTTAAAGTAGAACGGATATGGATGAATATATTTAAAGTAGAACGGATCTGGATGAATTGATTATAAGTAGAACGGATATGGATGAATTGATTTCAAGTAGAACGGATCTAGATGAGTTTATTTTAAATAGAACGAATCTGGGTGAGTAGATTGAATTCATCCTGAAAACTTCTCTTAAGACATGATATCTGCAAAGAAACTCACAAGTAACGATTATATCATCTTTTATCAGTTTATGTAAGTATTTTTTCTGACTGTGGTTTAAAATATATGAAATATATACGATGCAGTTCCTAAATATATGAAATATATACGCTACAGTTTCTAAATATATGAAATATATACGCTACAGTTTCTAAATATATGAAATATATACGCTACAGTTTCCAAATATATAGAGATATACGCTACAGTTTCCAAATATATAGAGATATATACGCTACAGTTTCCAAATATATATAGATATATACGCTGCAGTTTCCAAATATATAGAGATATATACGCTACAGTTTCCAAATTTATGAAATATATACGATACAGTTTCCAAATATATAGATATATACGATACAGTTTCCAAATATATAGATATATACGCTACAGTTTCCAAATATATAGATAAATACGCAACAGTTTCCAAATATATAGAGATATACGCTACAGTTTCCAAATATATAGAGATATATACGCTACAGTTTCCAAATATATAGAGATATACGCTACAGTTTCCAAATATATAGATATATACGCTACAGTTTCCAAATATATAGAGATATACGCTACAGTTTCCAAATGACCAGTTTTGAATATAAAATATTTAATATTTACGATCATACGAAGGGCTGGTTAACTGGGTTGTTAAACACTTTACACCGTATATACAATACAGGGTGTCCCATTTATCTTAACAATTTTTATTCGGCTGTGTCTTCGCCATTTTTTTTAAATCATTGAAGGGACTATTATAGTGTTATTTTAAGTGAACCTTCTTTCAAAACGGCAATGGCTGATTTAGAACAGTTCCGGCCCATGAAAAGCATGGTATGAAGTATGAATTAGATATATCTGTATAATTTTGAAAACTAATTATTTTCAGTTTTGGTTTCTTTTTTAAAGTTACTTACGCATTTAATACAATATAGGAATTAACAACATTAAGCAATTTAAGCATGAAAAACGACAAAATCTTCCACATTATTAAAAGTGATGTTCTGTTTTGTGTTAGGGAAAATATCAATTCTCATGAAAAATGTTTATAATAACATTTATACAAACTTGATAACTACATTGTTATTTTTAAAAGTGGTTTGACCCCCCAGAGATTGGAATTTATGAATGAGGTGGTTGAACTATGTATACTGCTCTGCTAGTTTATTTATTCAAAAATGTCAAAAATATTCAATGTCATTGCCACAAATACGAATTTTCCATTCCCTTTATCTTTGCAACCTGGCGGACGGCGGTGTAAACCTTTGATATTTCAGGATCTAACAGAGTTTATAGTTTGAAATATCTAAGGTTTAGGACATTGGGTTGCAAAAATAGAGGTATTAAAATTTCAGAGTTCAATTAAATTCCTTTCCGTGCAATTTCGCGAAATTATCGCACAATTCCGCGCAACAGAATTCCGATTGGAAACCCTAATTGCACAATGTAAAGTATTAGTGCTTCAAGGGTTCCACTTCCATCTCAATTCAGAGATGATCAAGAGCTTCAGAAATTAAATCTTGTAAAAAATCTTAATTTATGACACGTTTGTTTTATTCATAGATCTCTCTCACTTTCAAAAGCCTTTTAAATGAATTAAAAAACTATTAACTTTTAAAAACATTTCTGGTTTATATAAACAAATAAATCATAGAAACAGTTTGTAGTGTTTTACAAAGACCCCCCCCCCCCCCGACCCCCATCCACTTTCTGATCTTAAATTCCAGATGAATGAGAAGGATTACGAAAAGAGTATTTTTAACTCTGATATAAGTGTGATCTGATGCATCACAGTTACAACACTTAAATTCTCCCAAATTTTATGATTATTTATATCTTTGCAACCTGATGTCGTAGATTCTTGTTACACGATCAGGTTGCAAAGATATAAGGATTGAAGAATTATCGCAAAAAAAACTCTAAACTTGCCTTAAATTCTCTCTAATTTTCTAAATTTTCTTTTTGCAATCTGATGTTTTAGACATATTATGAATTCTGCCAGAATAAATATTAAAAATTTTAATTAACAAAGCTATATATATATATAATATATAGGGATTATAAAATTTGTGTAAAAAGTGTTCAGTTCCTTTATTAACAAACAACTTTTTTATTATTTTATTTAACCTATGTAATCATGTCCTCCTCATGAAATTAAGATAGACTTGTGATTTTTTTTAATCAAAAGTTGATCCGTGACACTTTAGATTAATAATTTAATAAGAAGCTGCAGTTTAAATGTGTTTCTTGAAGTTGAGCCCAAAAATTTGAATGTTTCTTAATTTTTGTCGAGTCACACGAGCCACTTTACAATTTTAACAAACCATTAAGAAATATGTTTTCTAAACGTGAGTCACAGGTTTTGCAAAATGCAAATATTTATCTTCTCCTTAAATATGATTCGCATCAGCAAAACTGTGAAAAATTCAAACTAAGTTACTTAATATTTGCAGCTTTTAATATATCATCATATATAAGTATGTGCTAGATGTACTTCAAACTAGGTTACTTAATATTTGCAGCTTTTAATATATCATCATATATAAGTATGTGCTAGATGTACTTAATTGATAGATATCACCATAGTGTTTCGTCCTATTAGTTAGCAACAGTATGGCTCAATTTATCAATTTTGGGGTTTGCAGTTGGCGGGGATCGAACCGTGAATCTTTGGATTACAAATTAAACACACTAACCATTGCTCCATCAAACCCTGTTGTTGTTTGGGTAATGAAATAGGACCAAACAATTCATTACAAGTTGAGGGCCTTTATATAAGGTAACCAGAGCCCGCGATTTAAAAGCTTCGGCTCGAGTCTTAATTCCTTAAACGCAGCTTTAAGACCCAATCTTAGACCCAACTCTGACGACAGCTACCAATTCCAACTATGAAAATCCGCCAAATACAACATTAAACCGGTTTTATGAACTAAATTCTGTTGAAAAATAGATGCAACTTAAATTCGAAAGCCCGAGCCGTAAATAAGGCTCAACAACAGCTTAGACCCGAGTCGTATTTTCTTGAATTTTTTAAATCGCCGGCTCAGAGCCCGCGATTTAAGAGCTTCGGCTCGAGTCTTAATTCCTTAAACGCAGCTTTAAGACCCAATCTTAGACCCAACTCTGACGACAGCTTGTGTCACGTGATTGACAGCTGCGAGATCTTAGGCTCGACTTAAGGAGTTAGGCCCAATGAAAATAAAACCGACCTTGGTAGGTTTTAGTGGAGAATAAGGCTCAATGTTGGGTCTTGTTCTCATCAAAACCCGGAATGCTCCAATTCCAACTATGAAAATCCGCCAAATAAAACATGAACTAAAGTCTGTTGAAAATTAGAGCAACTTAAATCCGAAAGCCCGAGCCGTAAATTAGGCTTAACAACGCTTAGACCTGAGTCGTATTTTCTTGAATTTTTTTAATCGCCGGCTCAGGAAACTGTGTAATGGCTTTGAATTGATATAACTGATATATGTTTAATAATATTCAGAACACATTTTTTCTACATAAATCAGTTACGCAGGTACAAGATAATACATGATAAAAATTAACAATGAAAACGACAACATTTTATAATTTTACAAACAGGTTTTATGTTTTTTGTTTTCCAGGTCTGAAGAGAGGTTGGCAAAAGCAGTTTCTGAACTGGCAAAACAGTCACAAAGGTTTATATATTTCTTTATTATCTCTTGATGAATTTTCTATTTCTGCCTAATTTTGTTCTATTTTGATTTTTGTCTTATGTCATTTGATTTTCATATTTTTCTTTTAATCATAATTTTAAAATAACAATTTGATATAAACTAACTATATATGATTATTATAGCTATTTACTCTCCAAGTTCTATTAGCTCTTTTTAAGTTTTTTCTTTCATTCATATTTTAGCTTTTATCTATTTATAAAATTTGCTTGTCTGGGTGCACCTGTCTGTCTGTTTGTTTCTTTGTTTCTTTGTATACCTAATAAAACGGCTGATTTGAGCAGGCCAAAATTTTGCGTGGGACCTCACGTGGCCACAGTGAAGGTTTATGAATGATCAAAATTTCAAAACTTTGTTATGTTTTACAATGTACACAAAGAAAACATGTTCACAATTGAAGTAGAAGATGGGCGCGAAACGGTCTGAAAGCCTAGTCTGTATTATATATACTTTTCTTGTCTGGGTGAGTGGGTGTCTGTGTGTTTGTCTGTCTGTTCATTTGTATCCAATAAACGTCAAAGCGGCTGAACCGATTTGGTCTAAATTTTGTGTGAGACCTCACACCACCTCAGGGAAGGTTTAGGGAATTTATAAATTGGAGAAAAATTCCTTAAAAATATTTAAAGTTTTAATTTGGAATGCACCAATTCAAAAAAAAAAAAAATTCCGCCAAAATTTAAAAATGATTAAAATGGCCGACTCTCAAAGCAACAACTAAAAGCTAAAAGCAACAGATAAGCCTTATTTTATTATAAATTACAATTTAAAACTATTATTTAAAATGTTTTAGAGCTGACCATGCTGTGAAGAAGAGAATATCCCTGGAGAATGACAACAGCCACAAGGAGGAGGATATCGACAAGCTGGAGAACCAGCTCAAGGAGGACAAGTTTACCCTCTCAGAGTCGGAGAGGAAGTACGACGACATCGCCCGAAAACTTTCAACAAAGGTCTGTATACTATCAAAAAATTTAGTGAAATTCCGGCTTTAAATGCGATTTTTGACACGAATAGAAAAACAATTGATTGATTTTAAGCTTTATCGATTGTTTGATTATCTAGCTTTAATATTTCATTGTTGATTGAGTAATTAATTAAATGTGTAATTGGTTGATTGGGTGCTTTATTGATTGATTTATTGGTTGATTAATTGATTAATTGATTGATTAATTAATTGATTTATTGATTGATTGTTTGATTTATTGATTGATTGATTCATTAATTAATTGATAGATTAATTGATTGATTAATTGATTAATTGATTAATTGATTGATTAATTGATTGATTAATTGATTGATTAATTGATTGATTAATTGATTAATTGATTGATTGATCTTGTGTAGGAGGATGAGCTTGAACGAAGCAATGAGCGCTGCACTAACGGAGAAAAGAAGATCGTTGACCTAGAGGAGGAACTGAAGGTAACCAGTTTTGTGAAAACGAAGACGACATTCTAAATTGTTTTTTTTTTTAATTGAACGACAACACAGTTGTTCACATTGTTAAACTATTATATTTACTTGAAAAAAATATTATTTTTAGAATTAAGATTAACATTTATGAATAAATAAAAATCAATGTTTTGTATTGAAGACGACTTTTTTTAGGTTGTCGGGCAGAACCTTCAGCAGCTTGAAGTTAGTGAGGAGAAAGCACTTCAAAGAGAAGATAATTATCAAAGGTGAACACCACAGATTGTTAGAGAGAGATAATAGATAGTTATTGTGAATTGGTTTTGAAATTTTTATAAATGAAAACCTTTAAATGTTCGTGTCTTGTCTCCTTTATCCCAAGTAAATTTTAATACCTTCACATAAAGCCAACTCGAATTGTAACAAGATTTTGTATTTTTGGCCCATCCTCTCGAGAAGATATTATGGACCCCCACCCCCTTCCTCCTTCTAAAAGCGGACACTTTTTTTATGATTATTTTTTTTCAGATTTGGCATCCATTTAAAATATAGAAAGTATTTTTAAGAAATGGGGGGAGGGAGTGATCCCTTGCACAATTAAAAATAAATCACCAAATTCTGTGCTGTACATTATAGGATGATTCATTCTAACGAAGTTAATATTCAATGTTTTTTTAACTTGCTTGGCACAAGTTGATCTACCATTACACGCCATTTTATTGTCAAAACAACAAGTTTATGCAATTTATTTTACGATTTAATTATTTTTTATATTTTTCCTAAATTAGAAATTATAAATTTTTCTAAAAATAAAATTTAAGATAAATCCTCGAAAATAAACAATTAAATCAATATTTATTTATTCTAATAAATATTATTATTAAATATATTTATTTTGATAACAAACTATATTCAACTTGTTTATATTTCAGGCAAATCCAAGATTTAATGGACAGATTAAAGGTAAAGTATTATAAAATAAATATAGAATTTATAAATTAAAAACACAATCCAAAAACAATCATGAAAATGCAAATAGTAATTAAAGATAATTATTGAAAAAAAAAACTTATAATTCATGGCAATTGATGCAAAATGCTGATTTTTAATTCAGGAGATAAAGATTTTCCAGGGAATAGAGTTGAAGGAGGAAAATGCAATAATGAATATACAGAGACTAAATATTCTATAATCCAGGGAATAGAGTTGAAGGAGGATAATGCAACAATGAATATACAGAGACTAAATATTCTATAATCCAGGGAATAGAGTTGAAGGAGGATAATGCAACAATGAATATACAGAGACTAAATATTCTTTTATCCAGGGAATTGAGTTGAAGGAGGAGAATGCAACAATGAATAAACAGAAACTAAATATTCTTTAATCCAGGGAATAGAGTTGAAGGAGGAGAATGCAACAATAAATATACAGAGACTACATATTCTTTACTCCAGGGAATAGAGTTGAAGGAGGAGAATGCAACAATAAATATACAGAGACTAAATATTCTATAATCCAGGGAATAGAGTTGAAGGAGGAGAATGCAACAATAAATATACAGAGACTAAATATTTTATAATCCAGGGAATAGAGTTGAAGGAGGAGAATGCAACAATGAATATACAAAGACTAAATGTAAGGATAGATCAAACTGAAGAGGATCTTCTAAATGAAAAAATGAAAATTAAGGTAACATTTTGTTTTGCTTATTCTTTCCTCCGCATCGCAAAAACTATGAAAAAATGTTACAATGGTTCCCATAAAACTGTAGACTAGAGAAACAGCTTCTAGACTCAAGTTATGATTAAAAAGTCGAATGAATATAAAACAAGCGTGAGGTGTAATGCTACTCTGTGAATTTATATGGATGCTACGCTTTTGGTTTTAAGACGTTTTTACCTTGTTCTGCTTATAGACGCATCAGATAGATATAAAATTAGTAGCGATCAATATTAAATTCAATTCGATGTCAGCCTACACCCCCTTTCATTTTTCGCAAACACTCCCCTTTAATGTCTTCTTTCTGTTCCACAGTTTTGTTGGTCTCACAGCCCACTGTATGTTTTAAACTGTGTTGCCTAGTATTTGTGAATTTAAAAATAACCAATTATTCATTTTATTTTGTTGTGTTTAAATTTTTTCTAATAAATGGCTGCAATCCAAGATTATCAAATTATTCATTGTTGAGAAGACTTTGTTAAAATTACGAGTCCAGTCCCTTTAAAATTGTTTTAATAATTTCAGGATGTCAGCGACTCTTTGGATAAGGTGTTTTCAGATATGCTCAACTAAGATATTTACATTTTATTCTTTTTGAGAAAAAGATAATCTGAAGAGTTACATACATGTGAAATATTGATGTACATTGTTTTATAATTGAACAATCCCTTTAAATTAAAGGGACTGTCTCTGTAATTTCAAGTGACCCTTCATTCCAAGAGGGGCATGTGACATTAGCAAAGGTACCCTTGAACTTTAATCTGATCAATAATGCGGAATGATGATAACCTCGTTATTTTTACAAATGTAAAGGATACTTCTGACGAGAAACTACAAATGAAAATAATCAGTTTTCAAAATTATAAAAATAAATATCTTATTCACACTTGATCAAACAAAGCTTTTAAGGTTACCGTTGTTAATTGAACATGCCAGTTTATTAATTAAGGGTCACTTGAAATTACGTCTAAAGACCCTTTAAGACTATAATATTAACAATGAAATTAGGTTTTTACACAATAGCTCTATAAATAAGGTCGACAGTTTCTCGTTTTAAAAATCACTTTATGACCTTTGAGAGTTTATTAATATTTTTATGAAACTATTGTGCACTTCATCATACTTACTTACTTCATCATGAATTTCATAATAAACTTGCTATAAAGTAATCATCGTGCTAAAAAGTCAAAATAGCACGTGTTCTCTCATTTTTAGATTATATTTTTATAAAAATCAATCTAAAAAGCCTTGAACCTTCTCGATAAAGAGAAAATTTCTGTCCAAAAACTTTTTAACACTATGAACCAAAATAACAATGTTATAAATAGTTAATAGAATATCTCACTTTCATATGTAATTGTAAACATGTTCCGTAAATAATCAATTTATGTACAATGTTATATAGATTAAAAATCGTAAACCTTAAAATTGTATTATTTTTAATGTTAAATGTTGAAAGAAACAGTATGAAATAAGATATTTAATTTAATAAAAAAAAAATATTTTATTGTACACGAAATTCGCGATGGGGATTTGATTTACTAATTGCTAAAGGAAGTACAAGTACAGCGCAAATTAAGTGACGTACGCATCTTCTATCTTCAATGCATGATGGTGCTATGTTTATACATTGCACCATTCGTGCAATTTTCTGATATCATGGGGCACCGGCGCAATGTACATTGTCTATAGTTATCTTCTCTTCTGTGCAGGAAACAAATTTATGTACAAAGAAAAGTATATTAGAAATTCCTGTTTGTTCTCTTCGATATTTCTGCATTCTTTCTACAAACTCACAGAATAAACTAAAAGAAAACTCACAAAGTGAAAAAAAAACGAAAATGTGTGAAGGGAAAGGGGAGAGACAGACTATTACAGACCATGACGGTTTCTACGGTAAGGGGGGAGGGAGGAGAGCGCCACCCTCTCCAAAGAAAAAATAAATTCCCTTTTAAAACCCAAATAAAAGTAATAAGTTGGATAACAGAAAAATCAATGCTTCTATATGCCCCCAACAACAAAAAACAGTCACGGGTTCAGAAATCTCCCCCCCCCACATGTTGTATACCCAGCCCCCCCCCCTTGTCGTAAATTGGGTTAAAAGGATAGTCTTGTGAACTGTGAAGTGACCGTAATGACCACTGTTTGCCAGGGTTTGGTTTGGATTCAAGGATTTGAGCCAGGACGGGTTGTATAGAGATGAGAATAAAAAGATAAGAGATTATACTTTAATATTATATAAAATTAATGCATAAATGTTTAAATATTAGATCAAAATTCAACTAAAAATTTGATTTGTAAACTTAAAACCAGTTTATGGAACATTTCCCCGACGGAAAAAAATGCAAAAAATTGTTTAATAAAGATTCTTTTATGACTTTTACTAAATTGGAAAAGTATCCCAGACTGATTTTGTTTATGCCAAATATCATATTTGTTAAAAAAAGATATTAAATTATCATTCCTTTATAAAAAGCTGATTTTTTGGTATGCAACAATTTTGATTGAATCCCGCTACTCTAAAATCATTTCAATTGCTTTAAATAAGAAAGTTTCCATTGAATCCCGCCAAGTTTTTCAATGGTTTTACAACTCTTCTCTCGACAACAACAAACATTACAACATTATTAAACTTGCCCGTCCATGCTGTTTTCTCTCAAACACTATAAATATATTTTTAAGAACATTTTCTATTTTATATCTTTGAATCTTTCTCTCACATAAATTTTACGAGTTTAAAATT